TTATTTTTTCATTTTTTTTTAGTTTTATTATTTTTTAAAATTTTGTAAATTAGCCGAAATATTTTCGAAATTATTTCATTTTTTTCGCAATATTGTGAAATTATTTTATTTCGAAATAATTTCGCATCAATCGCAGTTATTTTGAAAGATTTTCGGTATGCAAAATCTTTTGCAATATTTTGCATATTTATTCTGCTGATGTTGTTGCAGGTTGTGTGGCCGCTTTTTTTGTCTTTTTGATCGTGCTGATATAACAAACCGATCCAGTTCTTGTTCTTCAGTGTTATTAACTAACTTTCTTCCTGATTTTCTCGGTCTTCCTTAATGCATTATTCTGAGACCACGATTTGAGCCTTTGCATCATGATGATGCAGCAACTTGGACACGAATTCTCTTTTCTCCAATGTGGTGTTTATTTCCGTAGACCTGACCTGCATCCCAATTGCAAGATTGAAGAAAAGATGCAACAGCCAGATGAACGTAAGCATCTTTTTTAGAGCGATGTTGTTTATAAATCTTAACAAATTTGTGTATACTATTATTTAATGTAGGATCATTTTCTTTTAAAAAATCTCCATATCATGACAAAACTACCGGAGTTCACTTATGGCACTCTCGCTATCATTATTTCTATCATCTTCAGCTGCTAAATCTAAAAATTATTAAAAAAAATTAGCACAGAATTTGATATCATATTTTTACAGAATAACATATAGGAGTGTTATTTTGAATGTTAGTTCGAATTAAGTTTAATTTGGGTTAAAATTCGAATTACACCCCTGCGTATTATTCTGCGAAAATACGGTACTTGATTTAATAATTATATATTATTAATGAAATTTTAATTATTTTTTTATAGTAGTCACCATCATTAATAATGATATCTTTATCTTCATCCTCAATACTGCCGTTATCAGTATCATAATAATTGCCAATATCATAGTCATTAATTTCGTTGCTAGAACTATTTTCATTATTACTGATATCATTGTTATAGTTTTCATTTTGTATCAGAGGTATATAATCTTCTTTTTCAAACTGTGCTTGATGAAGGTCTGCATAAAAACTAAGTAACTGATTTTTTTCCCCTAATGCCAAATAAGCATAATAATGCCATGTATTTACTGACATTGTAGGGATCTGATTTAAGCCGCAAATACGATAGTGCTTTGCTACTGATGCTTGATGTTTGCATGGCATTCCAGTTGGACTACATTCACATGTTCCAAGTCGCATATCTATAAGGTACCATAAATTATGATCTTTACTACTTCGGTGTTTAAAGAGCATTGAGTCTAAATTAACTATTTCTATATCTTTTTTGCGTCCAATTTGCCATCCTGATAGTTTAAAACGAAGTGCAATAAAACTATCTAATCGATTATAGGCTACAGCTAATAACTTACGAACATAGTATAGATTCATTGTAGTAATAATGAACTGAAAAATTTGTATGATATTATAAGCTTGTATCCGTTGAAAAATTATATCTTTTATAATTCTAATTTCAGCTTCCGCAAAGTTATTAGTATTATTATTACGGATTGGTAATTGCTGACAAAATGCAATAGCCCATTCTTGACGTCGATTCCAACATACTTCAAAATGTGATCTAAAATTTGAATATTTTAAGTAAATTGGATTTATTATTAAATTTGTATACTCTGTATTAAGAATGGTTTCTGTTTTTGCAAAGACTAATTTTTTTATATATTCAATTAGTATTACATGATCATCTTTATATATATTATTTTTTCCATTCCAAAGCCATTGCCACATTGCTTGTAAAAAATGAAAGATGCATAAAAGTAAAGTGGCTTGTTTCCAGGTATAATGCAATGCTATTCTTTCAGCTTTACAATCATCTGTTATAATGACTTGTGGTCCAATTTCAGATCCACGTCCGCCAAATGTTGCTGATGACATTTCATTTTTTAATATATCTAAAGCTTTCATTAAAGTATCTGTTTTTTCATCTGATGTAAGAATTGTTGCAAGGGGTAAACTACCAACAGGAGTGCTTGTGGAAAGAACTGTTAAAGGAGTGTTAAGAATATCAAGTCCTGCTGTTGTGTTCATATAAATTAATTCACCGGCTTGACGTAAGGTATGACACCGTTTCATAAGATTTGTTACAATTATAAGAATAAATGGTTGTCCTAAATTATCTTTTGTTGGAGCAATATATGGTTGTACCCAAGCATCTCTTTTTTTACTATCATTGAATTCAGCAACTTCATTTATTAAACGATTAAACATATCTTTTCCATTTTGAGGGCCTATAGTTTGAGCATGATATTTTTGATGAAGATAATAAAAATCATTTTTATATAGACAAATCGATCGATCTGCTAATATTTTCTTATTATTTTCAAATTGTAATTGCATTCGTTCGAAATATGTATGGTACATGCTACTAAGACTATGCCCAATTTTAAAAAGCTCAAAAATATCATCTTTTGTAATTTCAGATACTGAACGAAAGCTCATAACATGGCTTGATTTTAGAGGGTGATTATGGTAGAACAACATGGAGATTATACATGGGTGAGATTCAAATTTAGTGCTCAATTGTATACTAAGTACTGCAGGACAATTGGTATTTCGTAATTGTGTATTATTTATAGAATCTTTATTTTCTTCGATTTTACTAACAATATTTTTATCTTGAGATCCTTGCTTTAATTTCACAATATGGCTATGAATACAGTGAAACCGTTTTGAAAAAAGATAGCGAACACCTTTAATGGTTCTTCCTTGGCTTTCACGCATTGTTACTTTATGTAAGTCAGTAAATTGTTCTAGCCATAATTTAACCTGCTCGATTGTAGTAATGTTAACACAGAATTTTGCTTCGAAGGGTTTATTATATGCACCTAAAAATTCATGTGCAGGTATTGTTTTAAATGAGTTTATTACATATTCATAGTTTTGAGGTAAAGCACATAGTAAAACATTTAATGAATCGGTATTGTTTTTTAAATTAGATTCTATGATATGTATTGAAAGATAACTGAAAGTTGAAACAAAAGGCATAAAAGCTACTATTTATTATTTATTAATAGCAAACAAAGTATCTTCAATTGAGTTATTACGTATTACTTTATAAAAATTTTTTTATTATATTTTTTTATATATTTACAGAAAAATTATTTAATCTTTTAAATAATAGTTAATGCTATTTATTATGTTTGAGGCTTGAAATATGTGATGAGAGTATTTTATTCTCTTTCTTTATCTCAAACGATTAATTTTTTATGATCTTATGGTTTTTTCTTTATTCTATCATAGATTTGAAGCCACATCCAGAAATCTTCACAAGTATTAACACAGCCTCTTCTATAACTCGCCTATCTTAGTTTTATTACATCTCTCTTTATTCTCCTTTACTTACTTTTTTAGGTTAGCATCTTTGATTATATTATTCAGGTTATGTAGATCATAAAAATAAGTCACCAAACCAATCTATAAGTGGAATTAGATGAGAATAATTTAATTACTTTCTATTTTGAGATACTTATTTCCAATCGCGATACTTATTTGATTAATACATAAAACTAATAAGTGAAAGGCTTGTCAACGAAGTGACAGAATGATCATTACTGTGAGATCAGAAGACTTAGATCATGTGGAAATATATTGTTAACCTTTTATGGAATAGTCGTAATTAGTTGATAGTTCGCTAGTTCTAAGCAGGTTTTTCGTGACGTAGTGGCCTGATTGCATATGATGATATTATGGTTATTAGTTTATGGTAAGTCATTATTATCAAGTAAGGAGTATGGGTCTCCTATGTGGGCGTGAGACGCCTTTGTCCAATAAATGGTTATTTAAAGATTTTGAAGGTTGTTAGTAGATTATCTATTGCTCACCCTGTGTTAAGGCTGGCTCAATCCCCCCATTCCCTCCCTAATATCGTTTCTGTTCTTTCTTGGTCTTTTAGCAGTTGCTTAAGTTTTTGGTTAGTAAGCCCTATATTGGTAAGAAGAGGCTCTGCGGCTGTTCAGACAGTGCAAGGACCTCTTAGTTAGGCTCTGTGGCTGCTTCGGCAGTGCAAGAACCTCTTAGTTAGGCTTCACAGCTGCTTCGGCAGTGCAAGGACCTATTAGTTAGGCTCCATGGCTGCTTTAGCAGTGCAAGGACCTTATAATCGAGCTCCACGGCTGCATTGGCAGTGCAAGGACCTTATAATTGAACTACATAGCTTCATTGGCAGTTCAAGGACCTGTGCAGTACATATTTAGGGCATTTGAAATACCTGATTCTCTTTTTTTGCTATAAAGGCTTACGATAGTTATGGACTTAAACGTTTAGATTTTATAATATATGTCTAGGATAGTGGGCTTGAGATTACGTGTTTCCTTAGTATATTAAATGGTACAGTAGTGCCTTGGAATGACAGACACGTTTAGATTTTCTATACTGAATGACTAGCGAAGCAAGTTTGTAGTTATGCATTTTCTTAGTCCAATTATATGGTACAGTAGGGTCTTGAGATAGTGGACCTATCCGCATATGTTTTTTCATCTAATTAGTAATAAAGATAAGTCTCTGATCGAGCAATAATAATTGTTGCTTTTACTATATCGATATGTAGAGAATACAAAAAGAAATAATAAATTAATTTTTATTTTGCATTGCTTGTGCAAATAGATATTTTGGCCTTCACTTAAGGATATATTTGTATTTAGTTCTTTCCTTATATAAAATAATCTTGTTATTTTTAAACTTGCCAAACTTGTATTACTTTAATAAAGTTTAATGATTGCATTATTTAATATATGTGCAGGGGACTGGAATCCACTAAGATTTGTGAGTGTTCTCGAGCATTGATTAAAGCATTACACAATTGAATATATAATATGCCCATATTGCAATGACATTCAAACGATAAGTTATCAGTGAGAATCTTGTTTCTTGATATTTTTAATTAAACTTTAGTTAATATCCATAAAATACTAGTGATCAGAACATTATAAATTTTTACAATTTACTTTATTAACAATGCAAAATTAAATTTAATAAATCGTCCAACTTTGAAGATTTTATATCAAAATAGTATAGCAATGCTTTGTTTATAAAAATAACAACTAAGTTTATTACAACTAGTTTCATTTGGACATACTGTATAGCCACGAAATAACGCTTATGGGCATTATTTTGAAAATTGCTTCCCCTTAAAAATAGTATATTTGGTTCAAAATAACGCGCATGCAAGTTCTAAAATAACATGCAGCATTATTTCACGACTATATGGTATATATTATCAAAATGTTGATATTATGTATAAGCAGTAAATATAATTTATTTTGTTTGAATAAATTAATCTCATGTTAATAAAGTGTGAATTTGGTTGGTCAGGTAGATCATGTTGAAGTAGACATTCAACAAACCGGGCACAGATTTGAAAATTGCTTTTCATGGTCGCCCTGGTGGACTCTTCTTGAAACTTGGTTTTCACATCAGAGTTCCAATATACAACTACCGCTTTTGATTAGTAATATATATTGAGCCATCATCCCTATTTTTTATAATATTAACAATCAAATTGCAATATTAATTTTAGCATTTTTTAGCATTTTTTATTTTTTATACCCTTTTCTCACGACCTGAAAGTCTAAATTTCAAAACTTCGTTGTCGAGTCACGTGATGTCGGAGTTCCAATAGTCGAGTTCTGCTTTTTATTAGTAAGAATTTTGACTTGGAATTTTGACGTCAATCCAGGGTAGCGATACATCACCCTAAAAATAATTATATCACAAAATTCATCATCAGGAAATCTCGATGACTTCAAAAGTCAAACTATAATATTATCATTACAAAATTCTGACAAATCAAAGTTTTACTAAAGAATCCTAACGTATCTAACGTACATACTACGATCAAAAAAAAAGACAAAAAAAGCAAACGAAAAATACAAATAATGAATATTTAATCCTATCATAGAACACCAATAACTAATAAAAAAAATAGTCATAAACGGCTTTTAGTGCTTTTCTAATATAAGACTGGTTCCTAATTTTATTTAATAATCATAGAGAGTTAAGTAGAGATGGAATTTTTATATCTGACAATCTGAATAATCCGAATATTACTAAATATTCGGATTTCAGATAATTAAACCGGATTATCTGGCTATCTGATATAATAATAAGATCGTGCTTTATATATAAGTTATTATTGGCAAACTGAGTTTTTCTTGGATCTGTTCTTACATCATAATGATGGGAGATAAAATTCATGATCGAAAGTATCTGCATGATTAATATTCTTTATCTGGTTTATCCGAATATCTGTCAGAGTAAGTCACGAACAGATAAGCTGATACATTATACATAGCAACCACATAAAAATTCGCGGTCCTGTGATGATCTGCGCTAAAATTTCATTGGCCAAAAACAAACCGCAGATCGTCACACATTTTCAATTAAAAAATTAACTTTGATGTTAGGATAATGGTGAGCATTGGGATGTTAATAGTAAGGGCCCTGCATCTAGCAAATATTGCAAATGATTTTTTTTTGCTAAGACGCAAAAGGTGGTTTTGTAATCAAAATTTTAAGTTATAGACGTGTTTTTAAAAATAGTCGGCAGTTTGTTTTCTTTTCATGTCACACCTGATCATGTGTCGTGATTGGTTTAAAATCACGTGTCTGCGGACATTTTATGCAGTGATTATGTACTTCACGCAAATATCACAACACATGACGTTAAAAAGTCTTTACATTATTGTCAATTTTGTTTTCTCATGTTAATGTTTTCAATAAGTTGTAGATTGCTTTTTTTTTGAAAGTATTTTTATGTGTATTCATTATAGATTTTACACCTTCTTCATTTATTGTACTCGAATTTTTGCTCTGCTTCATAATGATTCAGCCCTTATGGTAGAATTTCGTTGATAGAAATAAGAGCCAGTTTTCCTGATAATAAAGATTCTGCTTTTTTCGTGCTGCATAGTAGTCTTTGATATTTTCTGAAATTCGCTTAACCATTTAACGAATAGGTTTGTGTTATCATTATCATTATTACTATTTGTATGAAGCGAAATATAAAGCGAAATATGAAGCAAACTATAATCGAAATATGAAGTGAATTAATAAAGGAAATAATTCACTTTTATGATAATGATAAGTATTATTTATTTAATTAATCGATGATAACATGATTATTTAGATTTATTTTCGGACAATCATATGATCATCCAGAGCACAACCTGGTACACATTTTTGATTTGCAATTTTTTAGGGTGGTGACGTACGTATGTACATAATTTTATAATGAGTTTATTAGCCTAATTCCACCCAACTAGTTGGTCAATACCCCAAAAATTTGGGGTTATATAAAAATCTGCCGTTATGAAATAATTATTGATGTTTGGAGTTTGGATATGAAATATGCTAAAATATTAAAATTATCATTATTACTTAACAAAGCTAAATATCATTATTTATTGTTTATAAGCAACCCAATGAATTTATCTGCTTAGTTTATTTGTCGATTTTAATTCCGAAAATCTAGCATTGTTACTCATATTTTAAGTTTGTTTATTTTCTATATTCATAATTTTAATCATGGCTTTGACCTTTAAAAAATTGATCAACTGTTTTTAAAAGAATTCAACTAGCTAAGCAATAACCTTTTAACTTTAAATCATAATTGGCCAGAATAACTAGTTAAAACTAAATATTTTATGTTTGTTTTTTCCAAATTTGTATCAGTATTTTTATACGTATTAATTTTAAAGTTTTTCAACAAACAATTAATTAAATAGCAAAAAAAATTTTTTTGTTACATATTGGCCAATATTTGGAAGTCAAACCCACTAGCCATGGGTAAAGGGTTAGTCATTAATTTGACACATTAATAACTCAAGACCTATAATACTAATTTAAATTATTTTGGAATTATTTAATAGATAATACTGTAATCTATCAAATAATGGATTTAAATTATTATTATATTTCTTGAGATATTAAATTAATAACTGACCCTCTACTCTCAGCTGGTGGGTTTGACTTCCAAAAATTGGCCTATA